GAGTAATTACGCCCAAATGGCCGCAAATGGTAATCTGCGCGCGAGCGAGGACGAGACGTCGAAAACTGTAATTGTCGGGCTTAAGCACGCGTGTGCATTAGCGCTACCGTGCACTTGCTCGAGTGTTTCTTTTTTTTTTTCAAAGGAGCTGGAGGAAGAAACATTTTTTTCTTTTAATGGGTTTCAAAAGGGGAGGGATGGTTTTGTTGGATAAAAAAAAAAAAAACCCTTTTCAATGTACTTACTTGGTTAATGAAAAACGAGCTTGGAACAAGTCATTTGTGTTGAGCTTTGGGATTCTGGACTGTGGAACGGAGAAACGAAACGGTACAAGTATTGTTTGGGACCCAAAAAACAGTCCATTAGCCATGGAACCACTCGCGGTGGATTAAACGATCCCAAAGAGCCAAAGTTCATCTCTCGATGGTGTTTATATGCGACTGTATGCCTCGCAACCTCAAACGAATCTCGCGAGGGGACATAAAAAGGTCGTCCCAAAAGCCTCCCACGACAATCCGGTAAAAGCATCAGCCACACGTGAGACACCCTACGGTGCAATCACGTCCTCGCACTTGGCGCCGACCCCGTAATACCTTATAGTCGTTCCGAGCGAATGATCTAAAAAAAAAAAAAGTAGCAAGTAAGGGGGCATTCGCTGTGTTCATCCCTGCAAGACCGCGCGTAATTCGCCCGGCGACGATTTGCTTTCCCTTATCCACAAGTATACATATATATGGAAACTGAGGGGCAAAAGGGGCTGGTGCACGTGCAGGGGATGGAAGGGTACGCGCAGGGGAGACCACGTAAAATGTATATACAGCTACTTGGCAGGTATACAGTGCAGTGTGAAAGGGCTGACAGACTGCGACGTTGTAATAGGTGGTGGGTTCCTTGTACACTTTCGCGGCAATAGCTTTCGAGAGCTGCGCGGATCGAATGAGCCAGACGCTGAGGTCGCTCCGTGTAAATTTGTCGCGGGGAAGTGACATTTGCTGCACGGTATTCGATATTACCCTGGTGCTGGAGTGCTACTTCATTTTTTTTTTTTTTTTTTTTTTTTTTTTTTCCTGAATTTATCCATCACACGGGGCACGATAGAAAATTTGTCGACAGATTCGCGGCCTCTGTGTGTTTTTTATGAGGCTGCTTGGGAAAGTGTAATAAGTGACATGGAATTGTTTATTGCCAAATACTTGTAAAAACTAGGGAACACTTCCTACGCATGAAACAAGTTCAAAAATTGTTTCTGAATCATTCGTGGGGATTCCCTGAATCTAACGGAACACTAGAAAGGTATTCCTTATTACTAGAATTAAAAAATCATAAGTGTCGAATGAAAACCCCTTCAAACTAAAATACTAAACAAGCAATGACTTGAACCGCCAGTAATTGAAAACTCCCAAAACTATATAATCGTTATGAGTATTCCAGTCAGCGGTTTACCTCGATTGTGAGCACGCACTCGGAATTTCCAAAATTAAAATAAAGAAACTGGGATTTTTTTGTCTCAAAAGCCAGCGTGCACGAGAGTAAGAAAAGAGACACGTGCATTATAAAACATTCGGAAGCTCAGATGAGTTGGGGGCAAGATGGGCATGCCCATCGAAGCGTGAGCTTACTCTCCCCTGTAATGTTATACAAAAAAAAAAAAAAAAAACCCCGACTCGTCCATTTTTTCCTGGTTGACCAACAACGGTAGAACAGAGGATGAGGAAAAAAAGAGCAATTTCGACGCAACGAAGAAAAAAAAAAGAAAGGAAAAGAAAATTCTCTCCACAGCCGCGCGGCAATGCGAAATCCGCGTTTACACTCGAAAAAATATTCAAAGGGCAGCGATTCCTCTAGCTCGTACACATGTGCGGGAGGAAGGAAAGCGCACAGCTATACCCCCTGTACCTCCAGAGAATGAAGCAGAAAATAAGAGAGAAGGGGGAGAGAGTGAAATCCAAAAGCAGTGGTAAAAAGTACGTATGTATACGCCGGTGGTGGTTTCAGCTCGGATGGGCAGACGAGAGTTGGGGCAGGGAGAACGTATGCCGGGCGCGAAATCTAATAAAACTCGCTCTCCCTTCGTCTATACACGCACCTCTCGCGCGCGGCTCAAAGCCAGTGAGCGCATCGAGCGCAGGTCTCCGTGGTGATTGAAATGCGTTGGAATACGCAAGATTGTAACCCAGAAAACAAGAATTGAACCGAGAGAGAGAGAAGGGAAATGTATATATATATATATACATACCTCGGTTTCCTTTTTTTTTCCCCCTCCTTCTTCCTCTTCCACACTCTTACTCTACTCTCGCGTAATGGCTTGCGACTTTGGGGACTTATTGCCGGTCTCCGATGCAATTTAACGGAATTTCGTTGTACACACCTGTACCGAAGCTTTCTTTGCTTGCATATACATGTACCTTCGACCCAAGGCGTTTGTTGTGTTTCCGAATGAAATTTTTTTTTTTAATATTCACGCATCGCTCTGATTCCCCGTGCCCCTCTGAAAAACCATCATTTCAATCGAACAATGTGTGCACGTTCAGTGGAAGTGACAGGGACGCGGAGTATTCGCACAGGGGAAAAAAAAAGAGAGATCAAGCTGTCAAACGTACATATTTTCTAAATGTTCTTCATCGAGCGCCCAAGAGTCGATCGACCGATTTCGTATGCGGGAACAAGCAGGGGTCAAGAGGAGCTTCGAAGAAAAAGAGAGAGATGATTATTTTATCGCAATGATGTGCATTCGACGTGTACTGTTTTTTGCAAGTTTGACACAACGATTGGGTATTTTACGCATGAAATGTGTGAAAATGTGTTGAAATTTTATTTTTTTTCCGTTTGTTCGGCTCATCGTGAATAAAGTTTCTGGCGGATGGTACGATAAGCGATGCTCCGCGCGTGATATTTCCGTAACAAGGTCTGAGTCAATCAAGCGGCGTATTAATAACTCTCGACCGAGAGGTTTATCTATTTTTGTTGTGAATTTGGAGGAGAGAAAAATACGGATAAAAATAAGCAGCCGAAGGTCGCACTGGTCGATGGCTTTATAGATTTTTTTTTTTTTTTAATCATATAGCCCTCGAAAGAGATCGAATGATCTTTACTACTATAGCCTTTTTTCGTTGGACGAAAAAAAATATAATATTGGGGACAAAACGAGAACAGCAAAATAAAGCCCGAGACTCATCATCCCTGAATAATACGTAGAAATGCGCGGGGAAAGAAACGAAAAGCACCAAATTTCATTCGCGTGTACGCTACTACATATTCCGTTCGCGTAAGAAGCTTAGAGCTCGTATAAGCGGCTTTTGCTCTGCTGCACGCACGTATACGTGTATATATATATATATATATATATATTTTATGAGCAAAAGTGTGCATGTCACTACCACTGGCTTCATATGCCTCTTCTCTCTATCCTGTGTCTCTCTTTTTTTTCGGACGTCAACCTCCAGCAAATTTATATATATTACTGCACGTGTCTGCAGCTGACGATTAAACCTAACCCCCCCCCCCCCCCCGACGAGGTGATCCGGGGCACAAGTACCACGTTATTGTGATTTATTTATCTCCAAAAATACGTGCTGAACTGTTTCGATCGATTTTTCCTCTTTGCGCGATTCTTACACACACCGTATACGCCATCGTCCGAACGAGTCGATGAAATTTCACAAACACGAGCGTTAATTGACGAATTGAATAGGCCAATGAAGCTTTGAAATTAATTGGTTGAAATAAAAAAAAAAAAAAAAAAAAAGAAGTAAGTATCATCCATACGAACACGGGTAGACAGAAATTTCCGCAACGGCAAAGGTGGTTGGTACATATAGTATCGCGCGGTCTTTCGTCAATCAGTTGTACCGTGTAAGCAAGTCGTCGAGAGTAGCCCAACAAACAGATTATGATGATTCAACTACAAATTTAATAAGGACTCGGCCGAGCAAACAGCGAGAAACCTGCCGAGATCATCCCCCCCCCTCCCGCGCGCGACGGCATCACCGTATAGGCGTTTCAATCAAAATACCAAGTAAGCAAGTACCGCCCCGAGGGTTCATAAATTTTCCAGCCAACGGGGCGGCTAATCTCGCTCGGCTCGCGTCGATCAAGACAACTCCCCCCGTCGGTGCTTACTCTCCCGTTGATCATCGACCACCGCGGCCTGGCATCGGGGTATCGGAGGAACGAGGGTGTATTCCAAGACATCTCTATTAGAGCCAAGTGCACCTGGTGCCTTTAAAGACGAGGAGGTGATTGTTTTTTTTTTTTTTTTCTTTTCTCCCGTTTGTAAGGGGGTAAACCGAACGGAAGGGGCTGATGCGCGCCCATTTGTTTTCCCGTATCGGGAGCCTGGGAGCGAAAGAACACATGGATCGTTCGGTGATACCACCGTCTCCGTGGCGGTGTCTTTACGGCCAATCTGCTTTTTCCTTCGATGTCGCTACCTTTTTTTGGGTTGACGCGGTTCGGGTCTCAACGCGTTGATTAGATGTAACACCAGGTAAATGCAATATATATCATTACCGACGGTGGTTTTTTTTTCCTCCAACGTACATCTTAAGCTCGTTACGTTTACCCGTCACTTGGAGTTTTAATTATCACTATTGTTGATTGTATGTGACCCTCACGTGACGAAAATGAACGAAACACCCGTCCAATTACAAATTATGATGGACAATAATATCTTATTGTTCCACACGGTAAATATTAAAGATTCAGTTGCTAACTCGTCGAGTGAATGCTTCGCGAGACTGGAAGAACTAATCCTGTTTAATTACGAAACATGAAGATTTAAGTTTTTTTTTTTCTCTCTCTCCAAGAGGGATGCGCGTATCCCTTGCAACTAATGGAACAGCGGACTACGGGACCATCCATTTACTTCTAACTGGTGGTAAAAATTAAAGATTCACTTTTTGACTGGTCGATTACGCACAAGTATACATGCAAGTATTGAAATAAAAAACGTGGGGGAGGATCGATGGTAATGATTGTAGAGAAAAAAGCATCGCGCTCACCTCCTGACTCCGATCTCGGCGTATCGCCCCCTCGGCGGTCTTCCGTTGCCATGATTCCCCGGCGATTCGTTGTTGTTGCTCGTGTACAGCGTGAGTATCTCGCCGTTGGTATTGCTGACGACCGGTGGCAGCATCTTCTATCCCCGTCCCCTCGATAATATTGCTCAGCCGGGCCGCGACGACGAAACTCCAGCCAGACTCATTTTCCCGAGAGATCTTCCTCTCCTCCGTACCTTTTTCCGCGCTTTTCCTTCGCTCTAGGTGATGCGTACGGCGCGGCGCACCACTGCGACGAGAGAATCCATTAAAGATTGCCGGCTGTACTGTGCAAGTGATGTGTAAAGACACGGTCGCGCTTCTCGCGGGCCTTGCGCGTAAAGGACAAAGAGAAAAGAAGAGAGAGAGAGAGTATATAAGTGTTATTGGAGGGCTTTGAACTGCTCGCAATAAGCAGATTGTCGTTTTCCTCCCTTTGTCCCCTCTCTGTCTCTCGGTTTCGCGTAGCGAGGGCACCGTTTTATGAAAAACTTCCGTGATTTACCGGAGCGAAATTGACTTTTTTTTTTCCCTTGGCGTCGGCAAAAACGAGCGAGAGTGTCTCTCCTTTACGATGTAGTGTCGAATATACACGCTTAAGATTGGGCGACGAGATGTGGGATCAAGAAAAATAATAACCAACTGTCATTTTCTTAACCGTTTTTGAAAATTTAATCCGCTCGCGTACGGTATACATATATGGTGTGTACTTCATAGAAAAAGTCACGCCGGCGTAATATTATTGTACTCGGGTCTCCGCCAAAACAAAGAGCAGGTGCTCGAAAAACCATTATCTCTTTTTTTCACATGCCGGTGTGTAAAATATATATACACATTACTCGCGTGTCGCCTGCAAACGTGTGTGTGTTTAATAAGTACAGCGTGTGCCGTTCTCACTTCCTTTTCCTCTTGATATCAGCGCCGGCAGCTGTTGCCGCCCGTCTTCTTCACTCTCCCGAACTGACCCTGCGTTCCAGAGAACAAAAAAAAAAAAACAAAAAAAAAGAAATGTATAGCAATAAAACATCGTGCACCAATTGGTGTGTGGTACATATATATGTATGTATACATAGATGGCTTGGATAAATGCGATCACGGGGCTTTTGTCTTGTTCCTTGGCTCTCGAAATCGTCCTTTTTACACCCGCGAGAGGGACAAGCATCCAAAAGTGTACACCCGGAGAGGAAATATCGAGTTTGCTTCCTCTCTGTCGCGCGTAAACCGGCTAAAAGTGTTCATTTTTCCTTCTCGTGTACTCGGAACGATTCGAGATCTCCCTCTGTCTTTGGACGCTTTTGTTTGTTTGTTTGTCCATTCAACGAGCTTTTCTGCCCCGTTTTCCGATTCTTTTCGCTTGCAAGTGCCTCTCTTGCCTTTGGTTTGTTTGTTTGCTCCGGTTGGACGGAGCTTTGCGAGATAATCGCTCGCACGTTGCTGTATAGCTTGGGACGGTGAGTCAGCTGGGATCGGGTTATACTTTTTTTTTCTCTCTCTCTCTTTGGAGTTTGTTTACTTTATACGCTTGTTCGAGAAACTTTACGCTGATTTTTTTATGTTATCTTATTATGAAGTCAATTAACTATATTATAATATTTTATCATCCAACCAACGAAAGCATGTTGTTGACGATTTAAGCTTGCGAGTCTTTACGAGGACGTGGTTACTCGGTGTCTCAAATAAAGATTTACCATATCTGGGTTACGTTCAAGTATTGAAGGAATAAAAAAAAAAATTATTAGTCAATAAACTGTTTTCAAATTCGATTAAATAGAAATCAAGATTATAGTTGATTTTTTTATAGAAAAGAAACTCTGGCATTTCAAAATATGCGCGTCAATTCTCGATATAGAGGCTAAAGACAACATTCCCATTGAGGGACGTCAACTGCGCGCGAGACAATGTGACCACCGGAGCTGCACTTTTCCAGCGATGCAACACACACATACCTATATTATCCCACGACGGCGACTAATGTACTTTTCCTAACTTCATAATTACAATACTGTTCGCACGTTTTCACTTTTTTTTTACTCCTTCGTACCCCCCCCCCCCACGCCAAATTCCACCTCCTTGTCTTCCTCCTTTTCCCCGAAGTTAATTAACCAGCACTAAAACAACAGCACCGACGACGACAAACCAACAGCATAATGCAACACAAAATCTCCTCCCCCTTTCCCCGGTCCGCGCCATACAACACACAGGCGCTCATCAACTCCTCTCTCCCTCTGCATGTGCGACTTATTGTGCGCGCTTGCATGCATAGCTGGCCTTGTAGATTAAAGATTGTCGCCAAAGAGGGCTGGGACGAAACAAGGCGAGCCGCTGTGTGCAGCTCCTTCGCGATGCGTGGCCTTATTTTATTCGTATACATATAAATGTGTGAGCGCGTATGAGAAAAGTGCGCACGCGCGCGATTCTCTTCTCCTCGTTGATTATACTTTGCGTACACGCTTTGTGCTATCTTTTTTTTTTTTTTTTTTTTTTCATTTGCTCCATACATATACGGGAGGGACCGAGCTCGCCTTCGATTTCAATGCGTTCGGACTTGCGTGCACGCGCTTGTTGGATTTACTTTTGTTTTTTGCCGATCTCGATCGAAACGCCGGAGATGAGCGATCGTTGCCATACTTTTCCTCTCGATTTATATGTCCTTTTTTCGTTGCGACTGATTCTCGAGTCGGTATCGGGCTTCGACTGCGAAACGTCACTCGACGAGGTCCTCGAGAGCAAAAAGTCTCTGCGCCCCGTGCTTTCAACGCGCGAGAGTCGTTGCTCCGATTTCGCGTGTGCTCGAAAAATTATTCATCCGCGCCTGTGGCTACACATATTATGTACGTGCTGATAAAATGCCTCGGCGCCCCGATAAATCGGTGATTATTTTAAAACCGAGCCCTCCCCGGTACAAAGTGGAATTTTGCCACAGAAAAAAAAAGAAGCGTGCTATGGTATTTACGCGTTTTCAGCTGACCAATAAACTTTGCTTACCGAAGGAGGAGGATGTGAAGAATCTTAAAAACCTTGAAAAACTCATCGCCGACATAATCAACTCCCAAGGTTTTTTTTCTTTTTTCTCCACTTCTTCTTCCGAACCCAACCTGCATGTGTATGTACGTGTATTATACATTATATTATATATACACATCCGTGCGGTTTCCGTAGGAATGCAACGCGAGAGTTCTCCGTCAGCGAGATCATCGGCTCGTCTCGCGCTATTTGAGCTCTAAAAACTTGGAGTGGTCGTTCGTACCGTATTTTTTTTTTTTTTTTTTTTTTTTTTTTTTTCAGTTGTAGACGACGGCGCTCAACAGACAATAGATGTATTATACGCACGTATACATTAGCTACTTGAATGAGTATTTGTTCCCACAAACGTGTAGTGAGTTATCGGTCATGTGGTTTTTTTTTTGCCGTCCCCAAAGTATAAATATACAATGTTATTTTTTCTATAGAAACAAAAACGATTCATTCAATTGTTTGTCAATTAAATTTTTGCACAATCACACATGGATCCCCAAGACAAGTACAAAACCGAAAAACCAAGTACAAAAAAAAAACCAAGTTGTCAATGCGTTCTTATGACAAAGCCACACATTCCCACGAGAGTCCTTAAGCTGTATATATAACCACGTGTGCATAAACCGCACCGGTGATACAAGAAAACACGTTATCCCCGCAATAACTGGGCCAATGTACAAAGTTACAGAAACTCTCTCTCTCCTGCGGTCCCCCGACAAAGCGAGACGCAACGGTGGATTTAATGACCGCGTCGCGCAATGACTCGACCGTTGCGTTACCCATATACATATACGCGGGAGAAAAAGAGAGATTCGGGATTAAGGGCAGTTAGCCTCGCACACGCTCGTAAATCAATTAAAAAAGCTGCGCCGGGCTCTCCCTACACCCTCCGATTCTGATGGTTTTTTTTTTTGCCCGTATTCATCGATGGCGATTGATTTTGGCACGCGAGCTACATCCATAGGCCCATTGGATGATGACGAGAAAAAAGTACACGATCTATAGAAAAGCCCGGCCCTCCGCGCGAGCACAAACTTTTCATTACCACCGGGTCTTTTTAATTACAGGCCCCCGTCAAGGCACCTTTCGCCGTTATAGGACTTTGCTTTTCGAAAGAATAAGAAAGAGAGAGGGAGAGAAGGTAAAGCTCGGTGCAGGTATTTGAATAACAAATCAGCACTCGGGGAAAAAAGTTCGAGTGGACTCCCGCGAGTGGAATGAAAAGGGAATTTTCCCCGTGAATGGATGCGAGGGGGGCTCGAGCAACCCTATCGTTGATTTTCTAATTGTTCGCCGATCGAGGAGCCCGCGGCGGGGGCCAAATATTTTTACGCTTTAATTCCACTTGAATAATTCACTCGGGTCTCGGTGGCAACGAAACGCCAAACGCCGCTGTTATTCATCGCGCTCGTGGTTTTCGGGAACTTCTCCCGACACAGACGCACTCGCTTATTGGCACAGCGCCAAGTCCAAAAGAGTCAATGTCGCCGAACGTGGTGATGCACGAAAGAACCGTCCAGCTGCGCGGCTCAGTTGCTTATACACGCGAGGATGATGTTATACATCACCCAAGTGAATAATAGGCGGGGGCGAGAGCCTCAAACTGTTCGTCCATTAAAAAATCGCTCAAAGGCGCATCAAGAGCTGGATGTGGACGCTTTTTTTCTATGCCTTGCGAGCAGCAGTATACCTATAACACTTTGTCACCTGCGAGGAATACTACGGCGTCCCCTTCCTTGGCGCAGAACCGAGTTATATCCTATACTTGTATTTCCTCGCCTCTTCCTCCTCCTCCTCCGTAGCCTTGAACCCCGAAAAATCGACGATCGACGAAATTGTCAAACGCATCTGCTGTATAGGGGCTCTGGGGGAGCGGCGCATTTAAATTCGAGTGGAGGAGGAACACGAGGGAGCTGGTCATTGAATCGATGAAAATTTAATTTGCCCTTATTCCCCCCTCCACCCCGTTCTCCGCTACATCCTCTTGAAATCTGATAAAAGGAAAAAATAGGGCGGGGTGGGGGGGCGAGGGGGGCTCGCGGTGGTTCGAACGTTTTCTTCTTCTTTTGGGCAACGGATTTAACGAACCTTTCGCCACTACCGGCGCGCTTCTTTTATCAAGGCCAAGGGAAGCCTCGGAGAGAGTGGCCTTAAGGCACTTTTTACTTCCTCACCGCCCCCTAGCCCCCCTTTTTCCCGATATTTATTTAATGAAGCTTTACTGCCGGCAGATCGATTGTGATAATGTTTGGGAAGAGATTCCCCTCATCCGAGCCATATACGGGGAATTAAAAGATTGTACGTTATAAACATACATATGTAAGTCGAGTGGAGAAATTTAATTTTTTTCAATTTAGCAACGGCAAGCGTCCCGAACTGAGTCCCGAAAAGCAACAACGACAAAACGAGGTCCCACACACACATACCCAACACATCAGCTCGTCCTACTCTTGACCACCGGGTCATTAAGTCATTAGCGTTATTAAATAAAATTCGTCCTTTCTCTCTACTGGTCATTGTCGTCGGAGCCGTGCGTGTACACGCCAAACGTCTGCTTGATTTGCTGCGAGGCCCAACTCTCGTAATTGATCGAAAAGGCAAACGCTCTCGTATACGTTTGCAGGCTCGATTCGAAAAAAAAGCCATTAAAGACGGTAATCGAAGCTCGAGCGAGTAATGAAAATGCTCGCCGTGCCATTGCCCGTAATGGCGCGTTTTCCAAGAACCATACGCGTACACATGTCATTATACGTTCTCTCTCTCCCTTGGCCCTTGGGCGCTGCGTCTTCCAGCTAAAGTTTTCCGGAAAAAACTATTAGAGCCGCTCATAAAGAACATGGGTGTGCTATTGTGCTCCCAGTCCATCACAGAGGAGATGATGATCCGCCGTGGAAAAAAAAAGGAGAGCCTCCAATCAACGCGGATAATGAAACGCAAAACGAGAAGCCTCG